TCTGTTTGCCTCCTCGGTGTTGCTGCCCAAAATATTATTTTTCAGTTTCGGAGCCCTTTTCCTGCCATTATATCCTTGAAAAAAACACGTTGCATTCGTCTTTGTACAAGAGGCATACGCACCACTCAGCACGTTAGTAATTACCGTTTCCGCCGGCTAACGTCTGTTGTCGCTACACGCTGAGGCTTGTGTGGATACCACGCTTACAAAGGCTTTGAGACTGCACTCCCGCAACCCCGAGGCATTTTTTTGTTCTATTTGTCAACTCCCAACTTAGGTACCAGCCTTTATCGCAGACTGTTTCATGTTTTCTCAATTTAGAAAGACAACGTATCCCACAATTGACGTAATTAAAACAAAGACATAACACTTCACAATTCTGTTAAAATTACTATTTCGTTTGGCGCATATCCGTTCCAGGATCAGGTCTCCTACGGAATGAGCCAACGTCCGAGGCGCAACCTGCAGGGTTGCAGTTGGGGCTGTGATTGCCGTGAGTGTGTACCACACAAATGCTAGTCCAGGCATGAGGTAATGTTGGCTATCACTTTCGTGCATCCCTTTCAGACAGCACATGCTTCTTTACCTACTGTGGATCATCGTATGCATTTTGAAAATGAAAATACACCTTCAGAGAAGCTACGAATTCCTTTATTCTCTTCACCTCGCAACGCCCTTCACTTGCGGAGAAACGTCACATCAGGCGGTTTTCTTCGTTGAATTCCTGTGCTGTAGACACTCCTTCCCTTGGATGGACTGCTGAGACAGCACTCGCTCCAGCAGGAAGTGGGGGGCAGCCATTGCTCTCATCCCCGCCAAACTTCCTCAACAATCAACAGTTTCCCTGTGGATAAAAAGCCTTCAGGAGCCAGTGTAATTTTGTTAGGTACCTTCACGACTAAATTGAGCTATACGTCGACAAATATAGCTGGGCGATAATGTACCCAGTTCGCCCTTGTCCCATTAACCATGCGTTGCTGCTTAAAGTGATGAGAATCATCGACCTTAAGGGAGGACAGCGGTGAGCTGGAAGAGCTTCGAAACGATGACGATTCGTTCCCCCAAACCAACCTAATCCTTCTTCCAGAAGTTCTGGGCACAGTGACCCGATGTCGTGGGATGTTTGACGAGCGGAGGAGCCTATCCTGATAAGGGCTCCTTCAGACGGGTTTGTACACCTACTGCCGCAAGGCATCCCTACAAGTCATTATACTCATGCCGCCTTTCGACGCATCCACCAATGCTGTATACAAGTACTAAACAGCAACTTGGGCCTCAGCGGCCAGTATGGAGTTGGATTCGTAAGTAGCAGGGCCAGTCAGAGGTCTCCGGATGTACCCATATTCATGCACAGACCTCTGAAGGGCCCTGCTAGCTACGAATTCAACTCAAGGATACATTTCCTACCGATCAACATTGAGTGAGTGACCCTCGAACAGGCAAAGCCAAGTTCGGTTAGGCCAGAACTCCTCCCATTTATAGCTTATCAACTGTTTAAACCGGTACTATCGAGTTAAAATGCAGTAATACCAGTGCGACCCACCGCTTAGAAGCTCGCCTTGTGTTCTTGACGTTCCGTGCAAAGGCACCCGTGGCGTTCTTGCCGACTCCGGTCGCTCTTGCTGGGCGTCTTCCAAGAGCTTGCTACCGCCTAAGTCGGACTTTTACTAGAAGGTAGTCGATATGTAGAAGAAAAAGTCAATGATGATTTGGAGGAGTAATAGATGGGACTGGTCACCCTGCACTGGTCGGCACGGAGTCGGCGCCGCGACCAGCCTGAGGTGACGCCCCACAAACAGCCACAAACACTATATTATTTATCAAGTGTTCACAAAAATGGAGACCCTGAGATGTTGCTTTCACTGAGAAAGCCCAACGTGATTTGGAAAGACATCTCTACGTGCTCCATTGCCCTTCGGCCTGTAAACGAGCCCTGGCTGTAGCTCGTACCGGACGCGCTGACTGCCATAGCAGTTGCATGTGCTTCCAGAACAGGAGAATCACATTTGCAATGTGATCAGGAATAAAACAAGGTTTTTAACACTGTTTCATGGACAGCGTGAGAGAAACTCTCACTGAACAAGCCCATGCGCATTTCACGCGCGTCAGAATTGCTATTCACAGGACGCAGCGTGCCGAAACCGCATGCTGCCCCTGAGTATATTCGGAACTGCTCGCTGTTTCCCTTTCTGGAAGACCAGCGATTCAGTTTTTGGAGGCTTTCGCGAAGCTCTCACCAGCTGGGACCTACAAACGGCTGACGGCGTCAGAGTGTGTCTGCCAGGGCGCCGCCAGGCTCGAAGATTTGTAACGATCTTGTCTTTACAAATAGTTCTTTTCAATTCTTGCTCTCTGGTGAAAATGCGTATTTTTGCGTGGTCTGACCTCCACCTAGAGAGCAAAGTAAACTTTGAGCTTGTCAAGCAATTTTGCCAGTTGAACAAGAAACGCACCGATTCCACAGAAAATTCGATGAGCAGCGGCCATGGCACGGCAAACGCAGATGAATGTGCAATAGGCTCCTCTACTGAGGCCAGTACTGGAGCAGAAGCTCCGGCATGGCCCCCGCTCTCTGGCACCATAGCAGGCAACATAGGAAAGCTGTGGGAAGTGGTCACAGGAGCGACATCACCACTCAACGAGGACTTTGCCGACGATGTACTTATTCTCGCTGGAGATGTTCACCACGAGCTAGAAGGTTTGAAAGAGTCCCTAAAACTTTTTTGCTCAGTCTTCGGCCACGTGGCCTTCGTACCTGGAAACCACGAGCTCTGGATAACCCACAAGGACAGAGATTTTGGTAAGCTCGAATCCTGATAAGAATGTGAGACAGAAATTTGTTTAAGGAAGCTGTAGTTGATTTTCGCGGTCACGTTGATTACATGATTCCGTCCAAACAGCGAACAGGGCGAAATGGACGATATCGCTTACGTATGGCTAGGCCGTATGAATACAGGAGCTTCCACTGTTCATATTTGTTCGTGTAGGTATTACCGACAGTCTGCAGAAATTTGACAGCATTTTGCGGTTGTGCGAATCATTGGGTATCCACACTAGTCCATTTTCCCCTTCTAGGGGAGTACGCCTAGTCCCCCTCTTTTCATGGTACGACGAATTTGACCCCCACTTCCGACGCGTAGCGGTGCATGCGCATCAGTCCCAGACCGTGGCTCCACGTACAAGCCAGCCCCGGACAGGAAGTTCCGGCCCTTCTCCGTCTGACAGCAACCGGGCTGTAAGTTCTAAGCTCTTGCTATCTCTGGCAGAAAACTGGATGGACTACACCGCCTGCAGGTGGCCACTCCCCCTCACAAACAATGACCCTAAGTCGAGTTGCCGGCAGGGCACAGAGTGCAGCAGCCTCGGAAGAACTGAAACGGAATCCACGCTGTTTAAAAGGTTCAGTGGGATGAATCTTCGCAGGAGTCGGCGATGTATGTGCAAGTTCACGGGTGAGTCAAATGTTCCTAGTGTTCCCTATCACGGTGCTGGTGCAGCGGATGCGGCTGGGCGTAGGGAAGCGTCTGGCTTACCTTGTGGATCTCAGCGGGCAGTTGGCGTTTCTTGCAAGCCTTTTCATGGTAAGTGGTGTGTCGAGAAGGCAGAGGATATGCCGAAGGTGTTGTTGCCCAACTGCTCCCCCCGGCGGTTCACAGATGCGTGGGGAATGCCTTTGAGCCTGTCGGAATTCTTTGCAATTGAAAATGAACGCAGGGGTTGCTTCGAGAACAAATCTCGAAGCCCTTGCAGAGATACCTGCTCTCTTGGACGGAATGTGCAGTGCTCGGAAGGTGGGTCCCCTGCATCAGATACACATGACTACGCAGCGGTTGCCCGTGTACCAGAATCGAACATCGGCCACACCAGACGGTCAGAAAGTGATCATAGTTCGCATATCACTAATTGTAAGACTGACGTGGGTTCTTCTTCCCCAGAAGGCACTTGCGGACAGGAGTCTGCCTGCTGCGAGGGCGGCACCGTAGTCATTACCTTTTCACACTTTTTGCCTCGCGCGGAGCTGGCCAAACTTTACCCACTAAGCCCTGGAGCACTTGCTTACGTGATGGGGTCCACCCGTATCGATGAACAGCTCAGACAGGCCGACGGCTCAATGCATGTTTTTGGGCATTCCCACGTCAACGTCGATCACAAGATCGAGGTACGGTCCACAGGTTCCCAGGCGCTTTCCTGCATTGCATAGCTATTTGCACTGACAGTATCCACAGGATGGTTAAGATGTTGCTGGTTTCTGCCCCCTTTATTCATTTCGGCATAGTCCGATGTAACTGCAGATTTCCATGCTGTACACCCAGTATTCATCTGTGAATGCATGTCTCTCGAGTTGCTCAGGGAGTACGTTACATCCAGCACTCACTTGGGCGCCCATCTGAACAGAAATGGTTTCCTGGGAGGCTACGGCCTAAGCTAATTTTCAGTGATTGCCTCTAGTCTCCTGGGATCAATGAGCCTGAAAGCGCTTCGGAAGAAGTGTGGGCTGGCTCTCTCTGGCTTCAGTCAACGGCATGTCTCCGATTGCACTACTCCGTCTAGCATGCAAGTGCCCATCTGCAGCGGATTATCGGGTTTTCATTCAACGCCCTGAGATGTTCTATCAGGGCCATGGCGTCACGTTGTGAACCTTTCATTACTTGCTACCCCAAAGCATTATTTCCACTGCTTCGGATCTATGCTTGACTGGGTAGTTCTTCAGCTTTAACATTAATACGATATACTATACTACAGCGGTTATTTAGCGGATTACTGTGTCACCTGTGTCATTCGTCGAGTCCGCGCAGGCGGGTAGGAATGTACGTTTGTTCCTTTCCTGTTTGCAAAGACATCAGTCATGCCTGCAGAAACAGTCCCAAGTTTAGTGTGGAGCGGCAGCTCTCTGGCGCACGATACTAGGGCAACTCTCTAACTAATTCCTCATTTCCTGTCAAGCATCTGCTAGCACGTGTAGCAGTAGCGTCTGCTGCTGCAGCAGCAGTAGCTGCGACTTCTGGCAGTCATGTTCATGGAAAGTTCACTTTTCCGGATGCTAAGCCTGCAGCATTAGGCGCACTGGGCAGCTGCGCTGTAGCTGCTTCCAAGCGCTTTAGGGAACCAGTTAGACGGAGCCCTCGACACAGAAGCAGCGCCTACAGGTGGCACAGCACTAAATTCTAGTTAACGAATGCGCTGGGAATCATATTAATAGNAGAGAGTCCAAGGGTTTCCTGGTGTAGTGATTGAATGTATTAACAAACAGCAACTCTTAAAAAAAGAAACCTCTAATAGAACCAATAACTGCGCTGAGAGGTAATACGAAGTGGAAGAGGGATACTGCATAATATTATCTCTTTGTGCAACTATTGCTTCAATTTGTGTTCTGTATGTGGTGGCTTCTGCGCCTGTAGAGACCTAAATTGAATGTTCAACACGATATAATTTATCTTGAAATCCACATATGAATGTTAGGTATATTTATAATTTAAGGAATATGTATGTAAAACCATCAAGTATGTTTATAGCTTAATGAATGTGAGCGTTTTATTTGTTGTGTAGCAAATTTTCTGTAGCTGCTCTGCGCTTTTATGAAATGTAGTGGTCAAATAATACTGAGATATTCGTATTTGTCGCTACGGATTCGCAAGAGCAACCAGCTACACCTAACTAGCCTACATTTTCCAAAAATTAATTAATGATGATTATCAGCAGAATTACCCGCGGAGATTTGATACATGCGTTGATAAACACTATTAAGTACGTTAAGAGTGAATAGCTAACATCAGAGTAGATCATTGCAACGTCCTGCCGAAATACATAATTGATGGTTTATATCCATATCGCCAACACTAAGCTTCTCTCTCTACATATTGCAATATGGTGAATTAGACAACTAGCGGCTCTTTTTTAGAACTTGTTTATTTGTGTTTTTTTTGGAAGTGGGATTTTTTATTCGAGACTATGCTCTGTACACGGACAATTGTGCCCTGTATACACAGCATAGTCTCAAATTAAAAATTCCACTTTCGAAAAAGCATAGATAAACAAGTGCTAAAATATTGACTTATATTTAATTAATACTGTTTACAATTGAGTATAGAGTGCACTAGCGTTGCTAGTCATTACCAAAATTACTACTTTCAAGCAGATTTTGTCCTTCATATAGTTAGGTGGTATTGCAAAATTATGTGCATAACATTACATATATAGTATTACAAATAAGTAGATGCTTCCTTAAATTGTCGTTTCCAAGAGATCAAATGCTTTAATTAAATTAGTGCTTTAAGTTGTTTTCCAGTATGCGATGTTTAACCGTAGAGAGGACTTTCTACATTGTGTTCAGTCGTAGAAATATTTCTTTACGCATTAAGCCCTACACATTAATAATATACTAAGATTTTGTTGTAGTTATACATATCAATTGTTCACGTTGCTTCCGCAGCGCTACGAACTGTTTCATGTCTTATAGTCGTTGCGGGCTTCGGCGGCCAATACCAGCTTTGGCTGCATTCACTGAATCTGTTAGCAACGAGCTCTAGGCCATTACTATATTGTGTTGCTGCAACTAGTTCAACTGCAACGTAATAACTTCTAAGTCATAAGGGTGGCAGTCATTACGAAGAGACCCTCCCGCGGCCGTCAGTAAAGGGGCTTTACATGCCAAAATAATTGGTTCACCTGCGAGCTCGTAGCTCTGGGCGCCGTTCATATTGTACAGCGTGTACATGGAATTCTAAAGAATAAACGCCATCTCGTGGGCCGCAAAAATGCAAACCTGGACAGATGGCTGGAACCTCTGGCATAGGGGCCCACAATACACATCTAAATCTAGGCAGCGCCTGAACCAGCAAGCGTCACAGCTTCGAATTAAACTAGAGTACTAAAGCAGTTGGGATTCTTGGACTGGCGATATTACATTTCATGCTCTTCGCCCTCAGGAAGTTCCCCATAGGCCTGAAAATTAACAAGCGCAGCAGCCACCCGCGGGTTCTTTTGGAACTTGCACACATGTTGTGACGTGTACAGATTGGGAAAAGAGGCTTTCTACTGGTTCAAGCGTTCAGTAGAACTCACTTCGCCGCTGTCTTCTTCGATGGACTGCAGATACTGCTTGGAACCAGAGCCGCGTTCTAGCTCGCCGCCCTCAGCGTCTGCTGGGCGGCCCGGATTGCCACCTCTCATTTCGTTTTGTTCAGCTTCTGCGGCGTTGAGGAGGACATCGCACGCTCCGAGAGCACGACCTGCAATAACTAACACGATTGCGATGTATCCCTGCCACCCAGGGGTGCCGAATGTGACGCCGATGATGAACACAAAGAGAATGGACAGAACCTCAAGAAAACGCCATGGGCCTTGACCTGTTCTGCGGATAAGGCGATTCGAGACGATGTTCTTCAGGAAGGGCAGAGCACCGACAGTAAAGAGGCATCCCCAAGTTTGCCATGTGTAGAGCGACTCGAAATTCATTGGCATAGCACTTAGCACTGAACCCTCGCCGCAGATGAGCATCAACACCGGGAGAATGACGACGGAGATGAGATGCTGGTGGTTGTGCAGGAGGTTTCCTTTGCCTTCAACTTCGTGCATAACTTTCTGCAAAAAAGCAGCGCGGAAAGCGGCGGAGAAGATCGCGTACAGCAGAGCCCAAGGCAGCACGTCTGAGCCGACAGTTTTCGAGTCAGTGATACCCAGAAGAAAGGCTGTGAACAGCAGGCCAATGGCTTGCCAACGCATTGGCATGTACTCTTCTCCGCAGCCCACGAATCGGGTGATGTGATGAAGCACAACGGCAAAGGCAACGACCACAGGGAGAGTTGCAATGCATTGCACGCGATAGAGTAGGACGTTCGCGAGGACCAACATGAGAGCGTTGACAATTGTAGGCACAAACAGTCGTCTGAGGAGTCTCTTGTCGATTTCAACTCTTGGGAAGTATGCCAGCTTGGGGTATTCCTTTCCAACCTCGCCAAGGCACCAAGCCATCAACAGGCCCTGGGCCAGCTGCCACCAGGTGACAAAGACCGGAAAGGGGACCACATCGAGGAAGAGGCGATACACTACAAAAATGTTTGACAAGGTCAAAGTCAAGAACAAGATTTCCGATGTCAGAATCTCAGGATCTGTGATATAACGTTGGAGTTCCTGCCAAGTCGGCATTCGCAGATCGCGGAGAGAGGCCATTGTGCCAGCCTTCGTCGTCAGGTCACAAACAACAAGAAGAACGGCCCAAACAGTTTAAGAACACTGGGAGGTGATGACTCCCTGAAATATATAAGTTGTTGAGACTGTCCATGCAATGAAATGGTCGCATCGACAGCCGTCGCTTCGCGGCAACCTCGCAGCCGACTGCGCAACCAGGCCGCCGAAGGCTAACCGCTGAGGGTGGTGGCTAGGAAGCTTTGAGTATCGAACCGAAAGCTCTAGATTGTTCAAATTTTCATTGTTTTTAAAACAAGGACATCATGAAACAGTAGACGATTCTGTTTTGTCCGAGCCACGACGACCTTTTGACCTGCAGGCAGCGATTCGTCCAGCGGCGGCCCCCACCGGTCGGCAGCCATCGGTCACAGCGGGCTGCCATAACGAATTCATCCTTCCCAGGAGTAGAACTCGTCAGTTAAATATGCGTATATATATATTATTTCAATGGGCTTTTTTTGGCCCTACCTCAAGCCGCAGAGGTCCATTAGTGAGCTCAGTCCTGCAGTTTGGCGGCGTCGCTAGATCGCGCAGCTCACCAGTAGCACACTTCAAGATAGGTCGGCACTGCTCGTGCGAAGTTTTGCACATATTTTAGAAAATTATCCACAGAGATATTGGTAGGGCAGCTACGAGCAAAAGTGTGCAGCTAGTTGGCGCATAGTATCGTGGAGGCCATGGCCTGCAATGTCCTGGGGGTCAGCCGGGCAGGCCTAGAAACCCTGAAGTTTCTGGGTGCCGATGATGCGCCTTATAATTTAGACGTAACAATAAGAATTTAGCCCCGTGATAAGAATAAGAACCGCTTCCGCTATATAATCAAGGCGAATGCAATCAATGTGCACCTGTAGCACATTCTAGCTTGGGGAGGAGCAGTACACTGACAAGTCCAATAGAATGAGAAGGGGTCACAACGATAACGATACGTAACCNTTGGGGAGGAGCAGTACACTGACAAGTCCAATAGAATGAGAAGGGGTCACAACGATAACGATACGTAACCTTAAATGAGAAAATGACGTGCCGGCCTTTCTTTAGGGTTATGCAGGTAATTCAGCGGGAGGATAAATTTGCGAGACTGCCTTGGGGTTTCCCCTATGGTTGCGGCCCGGGCTCGTCGCGCCAGCAACGGGGGGGGTGCTCGCACCGCTCGCGCAGGCTCGGCCTGCACCCTTTCACGGTCTCTCTACTTCACTCGTATAGGCTCTGCTTATCCTACTGCACTCGTATGGAACGATTAGTTGACCCTTGTTCCTTGGATGCTTATGCTAACCGTTAGTTACCTACTATGTGACCGGCCTAGCGTGCACTGAGGTTGTAGTGCCAGGCATTACACTGACCCGTTCCCACCAAACTATCATTTTCTTCTCATCATAGCTCTCAGTTCGCTTAATCCGCCGGGGGGTGTTCATTGCTGAAGTACAGCCGTCAACCTCTACCATGGATCTGTTTCCTCATTTCCAGGCGGATGGTTCGATTTTCATCGCCAGTGCTCCAGCTCCTAGCGGTGGGTGCAATCGCCTGCAAACGCGAGCCAGGCAGCAAGGTACAGGCGAACGCACGCTGAGCAAGGCGTTGGGNGGTGCAATCGCCTGCAAACGCGAGCCAGGCAGCAAGGTACAGGCGAACGCACGCTGAGCAAGGCGTTGGGGATAGCTGAGAACGCTTTCTTATCCCCCCGTCTCAGGCAATTTGTCAGGCGCTTTGGCGGTACATGCATTCCAGCAAGCAGGAAGAGTGTGTCGCCCGAGAAGCGGATGACCTTCGTTGGGATGCCTCACTAGACCTCAATGCACAGAATGACCGATGCATTAACGGTGACCTTAGGAACCTATTGAACTAGAATCTCGTTAACGTTAATCCCAACTGTTTCCCAGAGAATTCGCATTCTCTGACGATCGCTGAAAGCTGGAGACGGAGACTGTGAGGAAAAACAACGACCCTAGTCGCAACTCTGTCACCGAGATAAATATCCAAAACGCAAAACGATTTGAATCCCTTGGCAATATGAAAGCACAACGCAAACTAGTGCAAAGGAATGTTCACTGCAAGCATCCCTGGTAAGCAAAATATGCGGGAAAATGCAAATTGCTGCTCTAGAGTGAATATATACCAAGTGTGCGTGCGCATATTACGTAACAGAAGACGCTGCTCTTCCGCACAGAACGAAGACGTTCATTTTGTTGTTTAGAAAGGAGTTGTGTCTTCCAGAACGTTGCTGCAACAGGGGACGCCTCGCTGGGTGGGTAAGAGATCCTCTTGAACTAACGATGTTCAGTGAGGGTTTTCTCGGGTTCGGGTGCTGCGCGTCAAACGGCATTCCGATTCATGTACGAGGTCATGCGGAGGGGATTTTTTTCTGTAAAACAAGTTATTTTAGNTCCGGAGACACTAGCTTGTTGGGAGACAGTGGCCCGCGCAGCTGATTGGCGATGAATACATTGTTCCTTTTTGTGCTGTGGACGTCCCAAAATAGGAATGGCTTTCACGCCGTTCGTATGTATGCAATATTTCCAACCCTGCAGCTACCTACGATTCAGGCAATGAAGTATCCAGTTTGTTTGGGCGAAGAAATGCTTTGTTTCAGTGGCCATCTCAAGGTGTATGTCTTACGGCCCCTGCAGCTTGATAGGCTTGGTGCAAAATTGTAGGTAAATGCTTGCGTTCTGCATTTGAAATCAAGTTGCTTGCTCGGGGACTAAGGAGAATTCGTGAAACAGTCGAGGACTAAACAGTTCGTGGTAGACGAAGTTGTGTTCAAGTGCTTCATAGAGTACGTCCCCTATCGTAGTTAAACATCCTTCAACGGAACGACCGGCCACTGGGCACGTGTATTCTAAGCGACATTCAACCTGCTTTCAAAACGCAGCAGCTCTAAAGCTGCACTGCTCTTCGATAAATATCTCAGCTGTATGCCTAACGCAACAGAACTTGAGGTTGGCACGGAAATGAAGGGGCCTTCTGATTCCCAATTTGTTGCCAGGCTTAAAATCCGTTTCAAGAAGCAGGGAAGTTGAGCTGCAATACATTTTGCTCCTATCAAACGGGCTGTACCAAAGTGGTTCTTTACGCCGCTCAAGGCGCCTCAACCACTAAAATTTTGAGGCATTCAGTCATTGCCTGGTGTGGGCTGTAGTCAAGCATATCAGCTCGTCTCATTTCGTCCTTTAACGGCGTCCAGGATCTCGCGGTACTCCCTTGCAAAAAACAACACATCAGCACTGCAGGTGGCAAGTAACCATCCGTTTGTGGGTGCGGCGCTGTTTGAGGTTCTGTTGTTGGCACCCCCTGGCAGCTGTATCGAGTGCGCTAACAATTCTAGTTGTAGCTATGGAAAACAGGATCTTCGCCGGCGGCGCACTGCCTGGAATATCGGCTATCCTTTTGGAGGGAATCTGGCAAGCACATCGACCAACACCCATAGGACAGAAGAATGGCTTCCTTCTTAGTCAAACAGGACGGTTCGCCTAAAGTGTGCTGTGTAGTTTGATTTGCCTGTTGCAACACTACGGCGTGTTAGCAAGAAATACAACGGTACTTCAGCGCCATCTACGACCTAGCTAGATAAACTCCGTTGCTCCAATAGACAAGTCGCGCTGTACTACATCTTCAGTTGTAGTTTTTCAATAATCATACAAGCTCAGGCTGTTGCTGGAATTCCTTCATAAAACGCTGACTGCGCTTCTACGATATACCAACTCTAACTTCCCCCTCTAACACCCTTTCAGTCCCACGCAGTGCGCTAGCCTATAATGTTCGGGTCCTACCCGCTATGAATTTGAAGGGGTCAGCTGGGCGCTGTTTGACGCATTCTGAGAGGGCTTTGCGCAGCGCCTCATGAAACTCTTTGCTGAAGCTCTTTGCGGGCCCGTCCATTGTTACCGTGAGAACGATGATTCAGTCTCACAAAATAGCTCAAGGCGCCTCCTGCAACAGAGCAGTTCTCAACGGTTACTTGCAGTGTTGTCTGTCAGTTTTGTAGGAAAGCATGTGCAGCATGGACTGCCTTCTCTAGGGGCCCCATCTGCCTGCCACTGCTGGTTACAGTAAACGGCCCAAGGCGAGGACTGTGCACCCGTGCATTATTCCCTCCAACGGCTCTTTTCCGTCCCCTTTGACCCTCAATTGGCTAAATGTACTTGTCAGCTGCTGCATGCTAAGCAAAGCCCCCTTTCAAGTTTGTAGGGGCCGAAGGGGCAGGTGCATACACGGGCAGTTATAGGATGAAACACTTGAAGAGCCCCTAGCTCTTACTTCGCAGACAAAAGCTGAATGGGAAGTCGATGGATTGCTGCAGAAGCACGTTGGCAGCGCAAGCAATGTACGGGTCGCGTATCAGAGGGCTATTGGGGGCCCGGACGCAGCACTGCTGACCTCAGTTGTTACGCGAGGCAGTAACGTTGTAAATATGTATTGTATTGCGCTGGGAATAATTCTTTTTTATTTCCTGCGTGCACATGTTCTCGTCATAGCGGATCTAACGACTCAGCCCATTGCGGAGCACGGGGCTACGCCATTGAGCGCAGCAGAACTAAAGCATCGATATTTGGGACGGCATCGGTGTTCTTGACTTTGCCTCGCCAAACTGCGTATTCCTTTGCTTTGGTTCGAAATAACAACTGTGGTTCAGCGCATCAGCACTTAACACCCGACTGCCTGTGCTCATTTCAGTCAAGCCTACATGACTGTACCTCAACAGCTCCTGCTGGTCCACAGGTTGGGCCCGCCTTCCCCCGGGGTTGTTCGCCTTCTTCGTTTAGCCTTTTTTTTTNCTTCTGTGCAGCCACCTGCCCCTTGGCGGGGACCCACGAAATAATGACATGCCAGGCGGCAAATCAGTGCTGACCCCCGGGCCGCAGCAGTTGATATGAGGGCTATGGCTTATCTTTAGGCTACTAGTGCACAGAAGGTTGCGTGAGCTGTGACTATGGAGGCTGAAGAGGCCTCTGAGTCGGCGATAAGGGCAGTAGATGACACCGTCATCTTGCCGTATTTTCTCGAAGAGGTACAGCGACAGGATCAGCACTGCCCGGGCTCCCGAGGGAAAAACTTCAGCCGAGAACGCCGTACTTTGCGGACACCTGCGTGCAGCAGGTATGGCGGTGGGGTTTATAGGCCTCATGAGGGGCCGCTGGCTGCAGCTGTGGAGCGGCGCAGGGGCGCCTCGGCAGCCCTTTCGTTGGGCCACGGCGAAGCACCAAACGGGAGTGCTAGGGGACCCATGGCGCAGGCCGAATGGTTGACGGCATCTCTTGAATCCGCACTTAAGTCTTCGGACGACTTGCCCCTGGTGAACCACCTGCGGACGCTGACGTCGCGGCTCTTCAGCGAAAATGAGTGGCTCAAGAGGCAAGCCCCGAGCAACGCCAGCTTCCAACAGGCTCAAAGGGGGAGACCGCCTCCCGTGCATTCGCTGGACGCAGAGGAGGCAGTTCGACTTGCGCGCCGCTTGGCCCAGGAGAACTCGTACTTGGAGACATTCATCTCTACTGACGCCCGAGTGCTGCAAAGTGCAGCGCTGGTGAAGGCCCAGAGAGAGCGTGCAGAGGCCCTAGAGAACAACAGGCGGCTGCAGCAGCAGGCGGAAAAGGACCGACAGATCATTGTGGAGCTTGAGTTAAAGAGCCGCGCATTCGCTGATGCCTATGCGTGGCTAACCAGTCACAACAGGATGATTCACGCCAAAGACGCTCCTGCGCTGGTGGCGTTGTGGCGCAGGAGAGTGGCGGCAGCAACCGCATCGAAGAAGGGTTCCGTGGCGCCGGAGTTCACTAAGGATTTGGCCGGGGCCTATGCAGCTGCTGACTCAGAAGGGGACACTGAAACAGCGTCCGAAGACGGGCGTGAAAAGAAGACGAAGGAAGACCTCCTGATTGCCGCAGAATTGAGGGAGGCAGAGGCTGTGACTGAGGCGAGACAGGCCCAGGCGTATGCAGCTCGGGCGGAGGCGCGAGCGGCTGCTGCAGAGCAGCAACTTGCTGTTGTGCAGACCCAGCTCGAGAGACTTAAGAACGCTGCCGCTGCTTCTGCTGCTTCCGCTGCTGCTTCTGCCTCTGCCGCCGCTCCGGCCCCCGCGAGTTGCCCTTCACCGACACCTCCTGGGGGCGCGGAGGAGGAGCAGCTGCAAGCGGCCCTAAGAGACGTTGAAAAGCGAGCAGAGGCCGCTGAAAACGAATGNTGCCTCAGAGAAACGGCGTCTTGAGCAGGAACTAGCGGAGGCAGTAGCCGCTGCGGATGCCAAGCTGACTGCGCAGACAAAAGAGCACGCAGTGGAACTGGCCAAACTGCAAGCTCAGCACTCTCAAGATGTAGAAAGCATGAAAACATCCGTTAACGAGGCGGCGAAAGTCAAGAGGGAGCTGGAGGAGATGCGCCAGCAGTGCGCCGAGATGAGTGCTCAGCTGGCGGCAGCAAAGGAGAAAGGGACGGGGGACGGGCTCACGAAAGCCGCCTCTCCTGGGGGCCTTGCCTCTCCATCTACTTCGGACATATCGACTCTCACCTCGGAGCGCGACAACTATAAGGCCACGGCCTTGAGGCTGGAAATGGATATCAAACGACTCAGTGCGAGGGCAGCGGAGGCGACGCAGCTCGAGAAGACAGTCGCTGCCCTCAAAGAGAAGCTGCAGGCCGGGGAGGAACTCAAGACGGCTTACGCGGCCCTGCAGAGCGAAACGCAAGCTCTCCGGAGTCAACTGGGCGCGAAAAAGAGCCAACCCGTTGCTCCAAAGGGACTCGAAGCTCACGGCGAGACGACCGACAGCACTGCGATCAAAAAGGAACGCGACGCTCTCAGGGAAGAAGTTTCAGCTCTACGGGAACAGCTGGCGAAGCTGCGGGAGGAGACCGAGTCCCTCAAAACGGGAGGAAGGAGCATGCAGGCGCCACAAGCGACGGGCTCTGAAGACACCAGCAGCAAAGAGGCGACGCTGACTGCTGCGGAAGTGGCAGAATTAGTAAGAGAGCGGAATGCTCTGCAGGAAAGAGTGCGCCTCCTCGAAAAAGAACTCGAAGCTCTCCGACAACTGGCAAAAAGCCCTGCGAAAGCTCCACCAGCCCCCAAGAGCGCTCCATCCCCCACGCCCACCACGGAGTCTCCACAACCTCCTTCAAGCAAAAAGCCGCCAGTGCCGACTTCGAAGGGTCAGACCATCCCGACGTCCGCAGGATTGTCAGCAAGTGCGGACACTGCGGTTACAGGGAAAAGAGACAAAGCTAACCAGCCATGCGAAGCCTTAGAACCCCGCGCTGCAGAAGTGTCGCCGCCGACGGCTGCCAAGGCACTGCCGGCGGCGACCGCCTCTTCGACGGATGCTCCTGACTGTTCGCCATCCGAGGCTAATTCTGCGACTAAGGCAGCTTTGCCAAGGAAATTCATTCCTCCCGCTGGGCCCAAAGTGCCGCCCGTTGCTCCTCCGAAGGAAGTAGCTAAGACCCTCGGGGGGCCCTTGCCGCTCGAGGGCCATGCTAAGGATGTACCTCCAAATAACGCCAGGCCTGTAGTAGGCAAGCCTCTGCCAAGTGCACTGCTGCCCAAGGCAACAGCGGCTCCTGCTGCGGCCTTCTCATCGGAAGGCACGACCACCCCAGATGGACAGCGTCAGCCTGAGCCTCATGTCGCCGCTAAGGGTACAGCTGATGCTAGGGTTACCACAGCGAAGGTCGCGGGGCCTTCCAAAGGCAAGAACGTCCCTCCCCCATTGCCATTGAAAGCCGCGAAGGCAAAAGCTGTACCTGTGTCCCCAAGTTTGGAAAGTAATGCTACACTGTTGGAAGGCAATGCTGATGTTGAGCCAAAGATACCAATTTCGAAGAAGTCAGAGCCTCCCTTGAGCAAGATGGAGCCTGGAGCTGGTCTAGCTTCGCAGCCCAGGACGGCTTCTGCTGA